TGAAAATGTTCTAAAATTGACTGTGACATAGCTATGAATATACTAAAAACCTTGAATTGTGTACGTTAAACTGTATGGTATATGAGTTACATCTCAAGAAAGTTGTTAAAAATTATTGATTTCCCCTCCCCCCTCCCATGATGGTATTGAGAATAATAATAGCAGCTAACAGTCATCACTCTTTCCAGCCTGTGCTAAGTGCTTTATATGCATTATTTATTTAACTGATCAGTAACCCTGTGAGGATAGTATTATTTCTTTATTTATTTTTAAAATTTTAAATATTTTTCCTTTTATTGAATTTATTGGAGTGACACTGGTTAACAAAATTTTACAAGTTTCAGGTGCACAATTCCACAATACATCATCTGTACCCTGTATTGTGTGTTCATCACCCCAAGTCAAGTGATAGTATTATTTTGAAATCCTACAGGTGAGGAAACCCAGCCTTAACTACAACTTACCTAATGTCACAGAACTAGTTAAGTCTGAGATTCCAAATCCTCTTAACCTCTCTGCTGTACATTTGGGATGTCCATGGGATAATTTTATATAAGACATGGTGAATGTGCTTTTACTATTAAAAAAATAATCAAATGCATGACTACTATAGCTCGTAAGGTCCTCCAAACACTGCTGAAAAGTATAACTGGAAATGTATTTAAAACTCTTGCTTTCTATTAAACACCATCACCTTCCTAAACTTTACTTTTATTTTATCTCCATCACTAGCACCAGCAGTAGACTTTTGTTGTTTTTGTTTCTGAGTTGGTTTCTACTATGAACCAGTTTTAAAATTCACTTTAGGGGACCTCAGGCATCAAGAAGAACAAAGCTCCATTGCAAAGGAGGTGCTGACTGTTGGTCAGCTGCTCTGGAGCAGGGTCTCACTGCTGTGAACCAGCTTTCGGTGTGTCATGTGTTCAAATTTGTACCTCCCAAAATTGTAACAGATCATCACATTTCTAGGTATGATAGGTAGAATAATCACCCCCTCCCCTGCAAGAGGTCCATGTCCTAATTCTCAGGACCTGTGAATATGTTACATGAGAGATTTTTGCAGATGGGCTTAAATTAAGGACCTAGAGATGGGAAAATTATCCTAGATTATCTGGGTGGGACTGATGTAATTACAGGGGTCCCTATGAAGGAAAGAGAGAGGCAGGAGGGTCATAGAAGATGTCATGATGAAAGCAGATGTTGGAGTGATGTGGGCCACTGGCCAAGGAATGTAAGCAGCCTTTAGAAGCTGGAAAAGGCAAGCAAACCCATTTCAGACAGTTGACTTCCAGAACTGCATGATAATAAATGTGTGTTGATTTAGCCCACTATGTTTGTGGCAATAGGAAACTAATCCAGTGGGCCTTTTGAATGGCTTTCTAATTACTGAAATTGAATATCAGTGTTTTTTGAGTAACAAGAATCTGTTGTCCTCCTGCCCCCTTGTACTCTCTTTCCTGTGGATTCCTGTCTTTGGTCTTAGCTCCTCAGCTAGATGGTTTACTGCTTCTGGGCAGGATGGTGTTGTCTCAGGTTCAAATGCAAGGCACTGTTTTGAGTGGTTTACCTGCACCCACTCATTTCATCCTCACAATGACCTCTAGATCCCACTTTGCAGTTGAGGAGAACGAGGTTCAGAGAGGTGAAGGATTGCACCTTAGCAAGATTCCAGGCTAGGGTCCTAACCTTGGCAGGCTTATGCTCTTACCTGTGATGCTGTGATCGTTAATCAGTTTCAAAATTAATTTCAAATCAGTTTCAATCTAAAAAAACTTTGAGATCTTACTAAGAATGTGTTTTAAAGGATAAAACTCAAGAGGAGGGTATTTAAGATTCCATTTCTCTGTAACCAGTGATTGGAATTTTCTTTATTCCATACTAGTGATAATATTGAAATGATAATTTTATATTTTGTTCTTTTTAGATCTGCTTTAAAAATCTCATTATTACCATACTTATTTAAGATTTTTAGTAAAATCTGATTCTTGTCTCTTCTGTTATTTCAAATTGTGTATTTACAACTGGATTAGAGGTACCTGACCAATTTTGGTGTGAAATCCTTTCATCTTCTTTGAAATAGGGTAATAATTAGATATTTTCATGCTTATTTGTTTATGAGGCTTTGTTCTGAACCATGAAAGTATAAAGTTCATGGTTAACATTTGTATTAACAGATATTGAATTGATAAAATACCGAATAGGTATGAATGCATTGTTTTCTAAGGATGACTCCAGACACAAAAAATAAAATGTTGCAAAGAAAAGATTTAGTCTTTCATTAGTATCAAATAATTTTCTCTAAAACACCTTAGTTTAATTGATGGAATTTAGAACTCATTCTGGAATCTTATACTTGTAATTTAAATTATATTCAGCTAAATTATCTTTCTTCAAAAAGCATGAGTTTATTTGCCAATAAGAATTGTAGAAAAATACTACCTTATATTTCAGATTTGGGGCTACCTATATATTTTCTGCTTGCTCTCAATCTAGGTACACCCCCAGAAATATTTAAAGAAGAAAGTCGGTCAGGATGTGTTCCACCTACAAGTCTTGAAGCCAGTGGTTTGAAGAAGAGCAGCTGGGGCTTCTTAATTACTGGGATTGTTGGTGGGACACTGGTGGCTGTGTATGCCGTGGCTACTCCATTTATAACACCGGCCCTCCGGAAAATCTGCTTGCCTTTCGTACCTGCAACTACAAAGCAGATTGAAAATGTTGTGGCAATGTTGCGAAGCAGAAGAGGACCTCTGGTGGACATCGGTAGTGGCGACGGTCGGATTGTGAGTTATGCTAAGACGTTTTAAGGTTTGGTGCCAGAATTGTTAAAATTTCTTTTTCGCGTTTCTTATGAGGTTTATGCAAAGACTCGCAGAACCTGACAGTTTAATAGAGTGGTCGTTTCATTTTGTGCTTGTTTGGCTGAACCATCAAACCCTCCAGCTTGAATTTGGAACGTAATTTTCTCAGATTTAGTTTTTTCTTAAAGCAGAAAGTACTCTGTGGAAATGTCAGGTAAAAAGGAACAATTAATTGGTAACCATGAAATTGCCTGGTAAGAAACGGGCCAATAGAAGTGGGATAATTGGAAGAAACATGTTAATTCATGGAGTTTCACTGGTTTATATTTTCGCATCATAAATGTTTGCTTCTACATTTATCTGTACTTACACATGTGTAATTCCTGTGGGGTGACATAGAGTTAAAATAGGGAACAGCATTAATCCCTCGTTTTCGAAAGGTCAGATTTTTAGTGACGTCAACTTACTTTGACACCTTCCCTGCCACTGGGAAGCTGTTTTACTTCCTTAAGGCCACTGACTGGCAAACGGGTGTCCCAGACCATGTTCCTCCATGGACAAGGTGGCATCTAAGGATTTGGGCCTCTATTCACCGAGGAGCTAAAAAAATGAGGTGGTAGCAGTCAAGGCTAGTATTGTGGAAACAGTTAGTGTGGAGACCAGCAGGACATGATGTTTTCACTGGCCCTTGACCACCTAGGCCCTGCAGTTTCATCGTGGTGACCTGGAATAATCAGGAAGGGATTAAAAAGTGCCTTGTGTTTTAATAAACCAGAAGATATATATATTAATCAGGAGGAAGTTTTAAAATCCAGATATGAATGCTTTGCATATTCAAATAGTATCTCTATGGTTTCTCAGAAAATGGTTCTTTCTCAAGCAGCGGCACTATAGTTATTCTGGAAATTACTGTAGGTGGGACAGCTCCTTCAGAAATGCTCCTTTCAAGAGTGGTGGCAAAACCAGATAAGCAGAGAGACCCCAGAGAGCAGCCCACCAGAGGAACCAGCCCACTCTCCCAGTCCCCTTACGTAGGTGGTGGCATTCTGCAGTTGACTTTATTCCGACTTGTTCTATTTTACTTTTATCTGCTTTCAATTTTGAGTGAACAATCTTAAGTACTAAGGAAATATGTAACAATGGTAGGTTCTTTATTGACAGACTATTTTTATTGCACATTACAACTAGTTCACAGTACAGTCTCTCGGGTACACTCATTTTTCCTGCTGTTGTGCTGTCACTGATGGAGAGGGACTGTGGGTTTTCAGTAACTTTTTGTCAGACTGACCCAGAGGTTGGCCAATCCAGAATTAATTTCATAGTTGTCTTAAGCAAACCTGACTATTCTGATGCTTGAGGTGGAATCTTTGACAAAAATGTGAAAACTGAATTAAAATTGGCTGGCATTATCTTGTCCACAAAGCTACGTAACTTTAGAGATCTATCTTTAAATGGTGTCTTGAACAGAGGGAGTGCCTTTTGATTGGACATTTTATGATTATAGACCATAAATAGGAAGCATTCATATCATTTTCTCAAAAAAGTTGATGTTTTTCTTTTTATCTTCAATAAATACTGGCCTCTTTCTGCAGGTGATAGCAGCTGCAAAGGAAGGATTCACAGCTGTTGGCTATGAATTAAACCCATGGCTAGTTTGGTACTCCAGGTACCGCGCCTGGCGAGAAGGGGTACAGCACTTGGCCAAATTTTATATTTCAGATTTGTGGAAGGTATGTAAAGCAGACCACAGTCCTAGGAAACCAACCGAAACTTTATAACTCATAATTAGTATGATTGTGAACTGAAAAATATATAAAAAGAAAAAGAATTAAAATACAAGTGTATATTTTAGCATAATGAAATGCAAATTGACTAGAGTATAAGCTTAAGGTTTATGACATGATAGATCTGTGAATTCCAAGAATTTGCTCAATTAAAAAAGTTCTCATTTCTATTTATTACAGAACGACATTTATCTCATTTGGAAATCTTATAAATTTTGATACTGTATAGGCATTCACTTTATTAATGTTGTTCTTGGTAAATAGTAGCCTTTTCTGTGTGTGAGTGTGTGTGTGTGCGTGCGTGCTCGCGCATGCATTTAGAAAGGCAGAGACAGATGTAAAGAAAAGAAAGAATCCACCAACCGTGCTGTCATGGATTGCCATGGTCTTCATAAAGTACAGGATACTTCCAAATTTATTTGTACTCTCAAAAAATTGCTCAGTAATTTTGCTTTAGGAAAACTCCATAAAATGCTTTTTCTTAAATAAGGATTTTCCATTGTAATGGTGTCATCAGTAGCTTATAAAAATTCACTTGAGTTTTGCTTGCATTTTTTATGCCATATATACATAAGTGATCTCTCTGTAGAGTAAATAAGACTTTTATTGGGTGATAAGAATTTTGACTGGCAAAGCACTTTTCCTCCCAGTTTTTCAACTAAAGACCATTTTATTGCATTTTTTACTTAGTATTTTAGAGAAGAGGAGGGGACTAGAATTTTAAGGATGGTTCAACATAAAAAAAATGGTAATCTGAGATCCCTTGAGTTCTTGCAAAGCTACTTTGGTGTAGAGCAGCAAAGTGTGGACCGGGGCACAGATGCCCAGGGCCATGGCTCAGCCCCCAGCTGGTCGTTGGACGAGTTACTGGCATTTCTGACAGGTGACCCTTAGGCAGGCCCTTCATGGAGCAGTTGTGAGGATGAGATGAGATAGGGGAAGCATTTGGAAAACTGATGGATTGAACTAAAATGAACAAAACTGTGCACATGGTATTTTTTCCCCTTGTGAAATCTAAAAGGGGACCACTCTTTGTGAAAATCTACTATTTGATGAAATGTAAAATTGATACTCATTTTGAAACAAAAGTTAAGCTGGATGTTTGACTTTTAAAAATTAATCTATGAATTGTTTCCTCCTCTCCTTTAGGTTACTTTTTCGCAGTACTCAAATGTTGTTATTTTTGGGGTGCCTCAGATGGTGAGTACGCATTCTCTTGTCCCCTGTCTGGTTCTCAGGCATGAAAGCCCTTCCAGCTCTTATAGGCCACCTCTCTATGGCCTGCTCATCCACGTGCAAAATGACGCCTCCCAGATACTCTGAGGGGACACTGGATTTCAGTTTATTGGTTAAACAAAATACTTCAGGGCCTTAAAAGGTTAATCATAAAAGATTCAGTCTTATTTTTAAACTTTTGCTTCAGATAAAAATCTCAATTATCTATCGAAGCCCTAAAAATTCCAGTCTGAAAACTGCTTTATGAGCTCCCGCTGTCTAATGTAGCTGCAGATTTTCACGGTCGCTCACTTTCATCCAGCTGAGATCACTTGGGAAAGTTAATGGGATGTTCGCTTTGAATTGATCATTCCTCTGGTTTTGCAGTAAGATAATTTTCAGGGCAGACAAGCGCTGACTAGTTTCAGTTGACCTCAGATGACTGATTTGTACTGAACTTTGATTATCCGCTTTCAAAAGTGAAAGTACCACAGCATTGCACTGAAAATAGTCCTAAATTTAGCCTTTGGAAAGATGACCAAAATGGGATGCTTTTGTTGTAATTGTTGGTTTACAGACCATGGAAAGAAATCCCTTTTCACTTTTCAAAGCCTGTAATTAGCCATAATAATCTTGGTGAAATTGGATGTTTCCTGAAATACCACTATAAAACTGATATGGTTTTCAACTTAAAAGGGAAATGTACTTTTTTGTTGTTTTGTTTTCTTGTTCATATCTTAATTTTTGTACAGGAAGTTTTAATGTTTGAGAAATTTATTCTTACCCCTTGAACCTTCAGTGCAATGCTATTTTATTTTTAAGAAGTCGATTTAGAAGTGTTTTGTTACATATTCTTGAAAGTAACAGGATTCTATATGTTTGTAATTTTCTGTAAACCTAAGATTAGCTGAAACCTGAGTGTCTACACTTTTGTTATAGAAATGAAACGAGGTAGAAGGGCATGATCCTTGGCAATTAAAAACAAAACTAAATTACTTAAGACCTTAGAAGTGCTATGGAATTTCATGGTTATTTATTAGTTACACTGTTTGGGCTTTCCTTCAGAATAACTAGCATTTTGGGGCAAACAACTTTAATTTGAAATCCATATTTTCTGAAAATAGAAAGTTGATATTTATTGGGACTTCCAGGCAGTGTTGAGAGGCTGGATGATGGCCTGAGATGTGGACTATGAAACCACAGCCGCTGTGTCCCAGTGGGGGGCAGCAGTGGCCTTTGGTGGTCACTGTCACCACGTAACCTGAGGGCTCTGACTTCTTGTACTTCCCTCTTACCATGTTTGAAGTATAGTCAGTTTTTGTAGCTGTTTACTCAGGGGAAATAAAAGAGTCCTAATATTTTGATGAATGCTTTCGCAATTATTGCCAAAAAATAAAAAAAGAAATTCTTAATAAGAAACTTGTAGTACTTCACTATTCCCAAGAAAAAGGGGAGCAGCAGAAATGTGGGAAGCACCCACGTTCCCTGGAATGGCAGGGATTCAGCCACCTTGCAGTTTTCCACGCAGGTGGCTTGATCACAGGTGCAGAGGGCCCAGGTGGCTTCTGTTGGTCTAGAGGCCCAATTTCAGGTGTGGAGGGCCCTGGCTTTCTACCCTTACTAAGCTTCGCCTTCATGGAGGATGTGAGCAGGAGGGAGAGCACTGGCTGGGGAGCCAGGGGCCAGGTCTGCCCTCAGTGAGGTGAGTCCTGAAAAGCCCTTTTATGTGCCTGGGCCTCATCATTCACTGTCCTATTAAAATGCATTTCCCTTCCCTGAGCATGGGTTGGTATTCCGGTCCTGCCTAGGTGGCTCCATGAGCCAGTGTGGCGTGAAACGTTTCCTGGGGCAGCGGAAGCACACATGGCACGAGAGAGCTAGGAGGAACCTTAGGGAACTTCGAAAGTAGAAACCTCAGTGTTATAAATCCTCACCCTGCTTCTGGTAGTGGACTGATTATTCCTGATAGCTCTTTGCAGTAGTAGCTCGAAATTAGAAGTGCCCTGACATTTCAACACTGGCATGTGTCTGACATACAGGAATGAGGAATCCCATTGGACCTGATAAATCCTGTAGGAGGATTGTAAATTCCCACTTAAAAAAAAAAAGTGTGTGTGTGTGTGTGTATTAATTGATTTCAGAGAGAGGAAGGGAAAGGGAAAGAGGGATAGAAACAACATCAGTGATGGGAGAGAATCACTGATCAGCTGCCTCCTGCATACCCCCAAATGAGGAGTGAGCCCACAACCCGGGCATGTGCCCTGACTCGGACCGTGACCTTCTGGTTCATGGGTTGATGCTCAACCACTAAGCCACACCAGCCATGCATAAATACCCATATTTAAGACTAGCTCTCCACCTCAAGCATCTTTTGAAAATGTGGGACAGATAATTTGTATCCTTGTTTAAAACCCTTCTGTGATTTCTTGCTGCTTAAAAGCAGTGAAGATAAGGCTTAAACCTTTTGCGCGGCCCTGAGGCCTGACGTGGAGCAACTCCCGCTTCCCTCAGCTGCCTGTGCCCAGCCCCCATTTTCCTCTTGCACCCTGGGCTCCACAGCATGTGGGACCATGCCCTTCCTCTGACTTCAGTCCCCCAACTCTGGGCCTAGTCAGTGAACACCTATTGACTACTCATGCTTCAATGTCTTTTCCTCTGAGAACCGTCCCTGATCCCCCAATGGGACAAGCTCCAGTGCCCCCTGTTTTTCACTCGTGCAGTGCCTGTTTCCCCCTCCTTACAAGAGTTACAGCACAGTTCCTGTGTGATGGCTTTGGCAGTGTTTGCTGTGGGCCCTGTACTACGAGTGCTAGAACGAAGGCCGGCCTGTCTTTGCTGCGTGACCTCCAGCATGGCAGCACTCGGCAGAGAGTAATCACTCGGGAAGTACGTATTTGTTGAATGAATGAATAAATATGGTATAAACATACCCATTAAGTACAGTTTCCCCAGTGGGCTATTAAATTTCATAACTTCAAAGAATGACTAATTTAATTTTAGTTGTGAATCCTGTTTTGAATTAATGAATGAAAATGTTATCAGCATGTTCTGATGAAGAAAAAGCATTCATGATTGAATTATTTCTTCTTCATTCATTTGACCAGTTTTTATTCAGGGCTCACTTGGAATACTTTAGTGAATAAAGGAGAAAAACAGACCTGTTCCAGGTGCTTATTTGCTAGGGAGGAGAGCAGATACTAATGAGATTCCTATACAAAATATATTGAATGAGAGAAGGGGATATGTGCTGTGGGGTAAGCTGAAGCAAGGGAGGGATGGGGCAGAGACAGTGTCCCTGTAAAGGGGATCTGTGGAGGTGGGGGAGGGAGGTGTGGGTCTGTGTCAGGAAGGGGGGAACAGCATTCCAGATAGGAACAGCTACTTTGGAGGCGCTGGGGTGTGTATGCCTGGTGGGTTCCAGGAGCTGCAAGGAGGTGGGTGTAATGGGAAGGGTGAGTGAGGGGAGCTGGGGAGAGGTGAGGTCAGAGAGAAAATAGGGCTGGGACATGAAGAACCCTGGGCCCTTGTAAGGCAGGAGCCACCGCGTGGGTTTGAGGGTTTGAGCAGAGGAGTGAAGGAATGGAATGGACTGGGGCTGAAAAGGATCACAGGCTGCCCTGGGGTGAGAGAAATAGCCATGAAGGGTGGCTCCCAGGTTTTTAGCCTGAGCAACTGGAAATATTTTGAGTTGCCATTAGTGCGCTGGGAAAGGTGCAAGGAGGGGCTGGGAGAAGATCAGGAATTCCGGGTGGCGTGTGACGTGTGAGATGTATGTGGGGAATACCAGGTTGTTGGTGGTGGGTGGAGGGATCTGAGGCTCAGGGGAGAGGGCTGGAGATCAGGCTTTCAGGCATCAGCCCCCGGAAGGAGTTGAAACAGGGGTGGCTGAGATCACTCAGCAGAGGGGCAGAGCCATCTGGGGCCTGAGCCCTGGCCTCTGACAGGTGGGGGTGCTCAGCAAAGGACAGGAGAGGGGGAGCTGGGAAGGATGAAAGGGAGGCTCCCTAGAAGCCCAGTGCAGCCAGCACCTTGGGAGGAGGCAGTGATGAAGGGCTCTAAGCTGCTGGTGGCCATGGCTAATTTACCTGACAAGCCTTTGAGCTGCTTTCAACTTAGGTTTAAAGTTCTGAGGATGTAATTAGAATGTGATGAGTTCGTGTCACTTTGAAACCTATAATTGTATGAATGAGTTTGGATTCCATTAGACATACATGACATGTCACTGCTTCTCTTTGTGTATGATATCAAGACCCTGATTTGTTGCATATTTATGTGTAATTTAGTCAGTTAATTTCTTATGATTGAAATAGCTCCTTTTCATTTTTAGGTTTATCTTGACTTAGCATATGACAGTCATTTGGAAATAAAAGAAACTGTAAAAGGGAAAAGAATAATTGTAATATGAATATGTTTACAATTATCCTTTTTATGAACAAAATTACCATAAGAAACCCCTAATATGTTGGAAAAACATTCTTTGCTTATTTAATATTTCCCTCAAGGAACAAAACTTTTTTTTAAAAAAAAACCTCATCTTTTCCTGGCTGTTAAAAGAATAGAAATATTTCATCCTTAATGGAATTTATTCTTTGTTATCTTGGTATTGATGCTAATGAAGAATCAGAATTCTGGCTCACTGTAGCCCTCGGTCATGTAGAGGATTTTTCCAGGCTACTTTTTAAAGGTATAAAATCTTCATAGAAATACTCTCGATTTGTCTGTCTTGATTTACTTTGGTACATGTAAAAAGAGTAGTTTTTGCTCAGATCTTGGTTTTTAAATACCGTGTCCCACTCAGAGGAACCAGGAATGTTTGAGAAATGGCTGATCTCAGGGCTGAGGAAGGGAAGATACAAAAGCCTGGAACATTTTGTTGAGCCGGAACATAAGGAAGCGCTCAAAATATTTGATGGGGGGCACATCCAAAGGAAAGAGAAGCCCACTTGAAGAGGCTCCTAGGGGCCAAACTGGGACAATTTGAGCATTTAGAATAAGTGGGACAGTGGTGAATTATCACTCACTGAATGAAATAATCTAGGAGTTCATCCTACAATGATAGCTAGCTAGGTAGAAGGAGAGAACGGAAAGCTGTTTGTTTTGTTTTTTTGGTAATAGAAAGTAGAATTTCATCTAGAAGAAATGATGGAATTAGCAAATCCACACTTTGTAATCATTAGAGCAAAAATTGACTCCCTCCAGAATCACCAGTGAATGCTTCATCTAGCAGGGGGACAGCCTGATGAATAACAGGATATGTACATCCTCTCAAGGAATTTCCCCACAAATCATTTATTACAAAGGAAAAATAGTGACCGCACTATGGAGACACCAGATATCACCTCAGCCACGTGGTGAACCGAGTGGTGACCATCACCCTCAAAGCAGGAGGACACCATGAGCGTCTCACTGTGGGTCCTTGAGATGTTCACAGCCTCACTTATGTGCCATTGCCAGGAACTCACATGCTGAGTCATCACGAGCAAACATCAGAGGAACCCCAGTGAGGGCCGTTCGGAAAAATAACTAACCCATATTGTATGGGATGTTAATTGTTGTGAGAGGCAAGGAAAGATGGAGGAACTGTTCCAGATTAAAAGAGACCAAGGAAACATTGCAGCTAAATGCAATATGGAATCCTAGACTGTGTGAAAGTGTTACAAAGGTCTTTTGTTATGGAGACATTTGACAAAATTGGAATGTTACTATTGGAATTATTTTATTGGAATATAATGCTAAATTTCCTGAATGTGGTAACTGTGCTGGGGCTATTTCTTAGAAAATATTTTCTTAGAAAACACTGAAATATCAAGGAATAAAGGAGCATGTTATATGCAACCAATTCTCCAATTAGAAAATATGTTCATAGAGAGGGGAAGGGAGCAAATTGGATAAAGCAAATATGACAAACTTGTCTTGCAACTTTTCTGTAAGTTTGAAATTGTTTCAAAATAAATTAAAAGGAGAGAGTGGAAAAAATATTCTTAGGAGGCGAAGGTGGTAATATGTTTTTAGGACCTGAAGATAATTTTTAAGGGGTTGTTAATGTGCTGATGTAATTATAGTGTCAATATTTTTAGCAAACAAAATGCCTTCTCCACAGGTAGATTGGCAATAAAATGATACAAAAGTGACAAATAATAGATTTTACTGTTTATATAAGTTATGTTGACTATCAAGAAATCAATTATCAGTACATTATTGATATATATATTTTAAAAAGTATGAAATATTATATTTCAAGTCTGTAGAATGTGTATTATTTTATAGTCTTATCATTCTATATTTCATTGAATCTAGATGCTATTGATTTTAAGATGCATCTTTGCTATTGAGAAAGAAAAAAATTGCCAATTATAATTCTAAAACACTGTCAATGGTAAGATGTTAAAAATGTGGAAAAATATATTAAATAGTTGAGACAGAGTAGATTGAAATGTTTAGGTAAGTAAATAATTTAAATCTGCATCTCATTTTAATTCTTGCCACATCATAATTTTAGCTAGAAATGAGAAATCTGTAATATACATCTGCTAAAAATGGCATATTTTCATCATTGATGCTAGAAGATGTTCTTATAACTATTGTCAATATGACTTCTGTATATTGATGGATTGTTTGATAATGTATATCTGCCCGTAAGTGATCTTTTCTATAATTAGCACTTTTTGCACAGGTATTTTCTGGGACTCAAATACACAAGGACATTTGAGAATCATTTTCTGTGACTCGCCACTAAAATAGTGACTGTCATTCTCCACAGATGCTGCAGTTGGAGAAGAAACTTGAGCGTGAACTTGAGGGTGACGCTAGAGTCATTGCTTGCCGGTTCCCTTTCCCCCACTGGACCCCAGACCAGGTCACCGGAGAGGGGATAGACACTGTGTGGGCTTATGACGTGAGCACTTTGAGAAGGCGTGAAAAGAGGCCCTGAAGGTCGATGCATTTTCAGTCTGTCATTTGAATATAAAAGTTATTGAGAGTGTTTTTCTGTCCTGTTGGTGGTCTTTGATTTTATGGAGACTTGTAGCTGTGTGTTTAGCAAAGAGTGTATTTTTGTTTGCCATGGTGGAGAAATTACTGTTATTTTCCTTAATTTTTGGAGAAAACAAGTTAAGAACAGCAGGTAGATTTAAAGTCTCCTTTCATGATATATTGTAAAAAATGTGCTTACAGCTTTTCATGCACTTGGATGTATGAAAATAGGCATAAGTGATGGATGTTGATGGGTGGGAAAGATGTGGACAACTCTTCACATGATAGAGAATGTGATTTAATGCCGCAGATGAGAAGAAACAGTTTTAAAGACGTGTGTATTAGTGTTTGCAATTTCCTATAACTTTTTCATACTGAAGATTTATCTCTTTCTTCTCTATAGGTCACGACAAAATTAATTTTCTAAGGGATTTAGAGAGACATTTATATTTTATAGCATTTATTAGAAATACTTTGTTCCTAGGCTTGAGGATTACTGTATTTTATGGACTCTAAGATGACTATGTGTGTGTGTGTGTATGTGTGTGTATAAATATTTTAACATTTCTGAAGAAATTGTGAGGTTTCTTCCAGCTGATGGTGTTTTATAGCTGTAACGGACAGTGTTGTACGTAATCAACTACCATTGATAGAATCTCAGATTTGATGAAATAGAGCCTTCAGAGAAGATACATGATGCAGTGGAGTGGTTGGCAATGATTTAATAGTAAAATAAATGATCGTGAACTTCGGGGTAAGCCAGACCTGGGTTCAGATCCTTGCTGAACCCTCAGCAGGAGGCCTTGGACAGTGACTTGCGCTCTCAGAACCTTGGTTTCCTGAGTATCCCTGTCATTGAGATAATGATGTACTGAACATGGGGACTGATTTGTAAAACTCACAGTATTTAGTCTTTGGTCTGTAAATTATATTTATTATTAATTTAGATGCTGATGAAAAGCTTATTCACAGAAGGTGCAGATTATTTCTGCTAGTCACTATTTTATGAAAGCAGCCATTTATTTAATCACATTTATGAGAAGAGACTTGACCAAATTTAGATAAAGACAAGTTAAGGAAAACCTTTGAATTTGAGTAGACAGGCTTCATATATCTGAAAAATTAATATTGAATGGTGGCTCGGCTAATCCCTGCTTATCACAGAAAAGAATTGAACTCCCAGCCATACAACTTGTAACCTAAATACCAAACTGCCTTAGAGATCCGATAAAGTTGATGGTTTGTGTCTTTTACTAAACTGATAAAAATGTGATCAATTTGATAATTTTTATTTAAATGAGAAGTAACTGGGAACTCATTAATTCACTCAGCAAATATGGAGTGTCTACTGTGTAATAGCTTTTCTGATTCAATGGTGAATGGACAGGCAAAGCCCCTAATCTTAGGGAATTTATATTCTGGAAGCGGGAGACAAAGAAATAGGTGAGTAAATGTTGGTATGTGTGAAGTTCTTGGAAAGGTAGCAGTGTGATAGTACAGAGAGCAACTGCAACTGTGGGTTGTGGGTGAGGGGATGGGGTGTTGTGGACATCTGTCAGGGTCGTGGCTACCACTCTCTCCCCCATTCTCACCAGGTGAATGCTCTGCTCTGCTGTGCAGCTTTGCTGCCTGCCCCTCGCTGTCACCTTGCTCTGGTCAGCCCTGAAACTTGCCCGGCATGCTTGGAGAGAGATGCATTGTAGCTCACTGCCAGGGCGGTGGTGGGCAGACGCAGATGTATTCCAGGTGGATTTGTAGAGGCATCAGGTTCTATGCAGGGTCATGTATAATTTGCCACTTTTGGGGTTTCTCCTTCAGTTTCTCAAGAATTAGATGATGCTTGATCCTGCAACCTCAAAGTTTCATAGAAGTATTGTGATTCACGGAACCTGCAATATCTTCAACCGTTTTTTAAAATTGTGCCTTTAAGTAAGAACTATTCAATGAGGTTTGTTCCTGTAGAGGTTATTGTGGCTTCCCTGACTGGCTGGTTTGAATTTTTATCAGTTACTAGGTTGAGGATATGATCAAATTTGCACATGACACAAGGAAGAGAATGGCAGCTACCATGTTTGATGTCAAAAGTAGGGCTCAGAAATGTCTGTGCAGATTGAAATCAGGGATGAGTACTAATCTGGTAAAATTTAAATTGAAAAAAACAAACAGAAATAGAAATATAGCTTCAGGTGATGCAGCCTGACAGGAGCCATTGTGAACAGAGACCTGCAGGGCCCATCCAGGTCAGTGACTTGAGCTCATTGCCATCTGAATGCGTCTTTCCCAAAAGTATGGCCCCAGGATTGCAACCTAGGTATTCCAGGTGCGCCTCATGAGACCCTCAGTCAGTCTGGCATTCAGATTCCTTGAAATGCTTAGCTTCACATGTGTACATGAAACCAAGTTTAAAAGATTTAAGAAATGAGACTCTTTTCTATGTACACTGTGTTTACCACTGCTGAGTGAGTGGCATACACCATGACAAGTTTTAACCAAACAGAATAGAAAAAATCCAAGATTCCTGACATTTAAACCACATATCCAGGTACTTCCTCTCTGCCAAAGTACTTTCCCCGATGGCCGAATGTATGAAAGACCTGCTGTAAAGAAATAAATGTTCTCAAGTCCAGGAGTCTTCTAAGCTTGTGCTACAATCTGAATTTCCTAGCTCGGGCTTGGCTTAGTGCATTCCAGGAAAGACCTCTGAGTCATTGCAGTGTATGCTACAGGAGTCTACTTAAGTCTCAACAGACAAACAAGAAACACATAGTTTGGTTGTGTGGTGTGTCTTTCACTTATTAGGGCCACAGTGTGCCCAGCTCTTCATTAAGATGTTGATGTGATCTAGGCCACAGTGGCGAAGTCTGCAGGCCTCTGACCCGGGCCACCTGTCCCGGAGCAGGGGACACCAGGGCGCCTGCCAAAGGAGGGGTGCAGACACTGCTCCCTCCTACCTAACAGTCATTGCCCCTCTTCCTTAGTAACAGAATACCCAGTTTTTCGGACATTGATGTGTTCAGAACGATGGGCTCTGCTGGTTGTTTGGTCCCCTTTCTTGGGCATCGGAGTGGGTTGTGGGCATGTGACCCAGTTCTTGCCAGTGAGGTTTGAGGGACATCTGCTGGGAGCTTTGAGAAAGGTTTTGTTGCTGATGGAAGGAGCTGCTGGCGGAGTGAGCGGTAACACCTGAAGTTTTAGCAGCTACCTTGCAACCACCAGGGAAAGTGAATGCCAAGCTACTAAGGCTGGTGGAGCAGAAAGATGGAAAGACTGTGGGTCTTTGATGATGCCACTGAGTTGCTGAACCAACCTGGAGCCTCTGACTTCAAGACATCTTGTTAAGTGAGGTAATAAACACATGTTGTTTTTAATCTGCTTTGACTTGGATGTTGTGTTATTTGCCCCATGCAGCACCTTGACACTGATAGGAGGGTGTGAGGCTGAATTGGGGCGAGGGTTGCCCAGCAGTGTGTGATGGCAGGCACTCGTTTTTATCCACTTAAGACTGCATAACCTATGGACGCAGACATTGGTATGAGCAAGGCCTGGGGGTGGGATGGATGCGGGGCGGAGGGAATCAATGGGGAAAAAGGGGGCATCTGTAATACTTTCAATAATAAACATAAATTAAAAAAGTAAAGTGCAGTCTTAGTAAAGTCATTTAAAGTTAGAATGCATTGCTTCTGGACATTGTGAGTTCCTTGTCACTGGAGATGTTGGAGCAGAGGCTGGGCAGCCACTGGGTGGGGATGTTGTAGAAGGGATCCATCTGTAAGCAGGTGCCGAGTCCTAAGATGACCTGAGGTGACGGTGAGCTTTCCAACCTGGGCAGGGCTGCCTGCCTGCATCCTTTCAGCCTGTTGGGTCTGGGAGCCTTCAGAGTTGTCTTCAGCGGTAAGGTGTCCAATAGAACTTAGCATCACCAAGCAGATGGCTGTGGCAACTGTTGACTCTGATATTGCAAAACAAAGCACAGGCACACCTTGTTTTATTGCACTTCCATTTATTGGGCTTCATAGGTGTGTTTTTTACAATTTGAAGGTAAGACCCCCCCACTAGCAAAATGATTATGATTCACTTTATTGCGAGACTCACTTTATTGTGGTTGTCTGGAACTGATCCCACATCTCCCAGGTAACCTGTAGTCAGAATATTGGGGAAGCTGAGGAATGAAGACAAGCCATGACGCTTTCTCTTTTGCTTTTTATATTGTCTAATAAAGGACACACTGGGTAGAGCAGCAAGCTCTCATGTATTGACTCTCATGTTGAAGGTCTTTTACGTACATTATTTTTAATGCTTATATTAGCTCTGCATTGTAGATAGGACATTTGTGGGGAAAGCTCTCCTGCTCGGGAATTGATCCCATCTGTCCAGTTAGAGTAGACATTAGCAATGTCTGAATAACTGAAGCTTGGGTCCCATGCCTCTTTGAATCAGAATAACTCCTTACGCAGCCCATTTTACCCAGGTGCACCCCAGTTGGAAATGCCTTCTGTATACCTGGCTGAACCCTGGCTCCCTAGCGCTTCCTGCCCACGGGGCCCTGGGGACCACCCTTAACAAACCCAGTGTTTCCTCTATGGGCTAGAACTGCAAAGATTTGAAGTTTATTGTCCCCTATGAATCTCCCATTCTCACAGTTCTTCATATAATCCAGTCCTCCCCAGACTGCTGACTCTCCTCTTAACAGAAGTAGGTTTTAAATTATCTTTCTGAAGTGTGGCTCCTGGAGCCAGACACAGCCCCCAGGTGTAGTTGGACCAGCAACCAGTGCAGAGGAGAACAGGCAAACATCTTTCTGGCTCTTGAACTTGCCTTCAAATAAGACCGACATTGCTACTCTGAACTCATATGGAATTTTTACTTATGTGTCTAAGTGATCTGTCCCATCTCATAGTCCAATACAAACCACATCAGTAGAGTTACTGTTTTTGACCCAAATGAGTTTTAAGTTTTTGAAGCAAATGAAGAACCTTAAATATATTCCTTTATAAATTTTATGTTAGACTTTCCCTACTACTATGGGTTTTTAAGGGACTCTGGGATCCTAAGTGGTTGTCCCTGTGGACTTTACGCCACACACAACTTTAATAATTATGCTATCAGTGTCCGCATTCACATTGTTTGAAAGAAATAGCCACAAATGTTGAATGAGACAGAGCTCCGAGACCTCCCCACCCTATAAACCATACACACCTACAATTTGATGAATTTGAACGTAGCATACCTCCCTGAAACCATTGCCATAATCAAGGTCATAAACATGTCCATCACCTCCAAAAGTTTCCTCCTGCCCTTTTGATACTGTTTTTTGTTGAAAAGAACACTTAACGTAAGATCTACCCTCTTAACAAATTTTGAAGTGTGCAATACTGAATGGTTCGCTCTAGGCGCTGTATTGTTCATCAGATCTCTAGAACTTAATCAACTCCCTATTTCTCCTCCCCCAGCCCCTGGCAACCAGCATTCTACTCTGTGCTTCTATGAGTCTGATTATTTCAGAATCTTCACATAAGGGAGATCACGCAGCGTTTCTTGTGACCGGCACACTTCACGCAGCCTCGTGTCCTCCCCGTTCACCCATGTCGTCACATAGTGCAGGAGTCTTTGCTCCCTTTTTGCAGGCTTGCAGAAACCTTCCAGGCCAGCCTCTCTCCCAAGGTAATGCCATGCTCTCCAGTCCATAGTTTTCAGAATTGATCACCCTCACCTTTTCAAGACTCACACTGATGTTTGCATACCGCTGTAGCTCTCTGGCACCTGTCCTGCTCTACACAGTATCTCCAGTATCCCCCAGTAAAAATTTGGCTGTTTCATTTATTCATTTTCTCAGTTTTCTGGGCATTATTTTATGCTAAACATGCTTGGAGATTGGACTCATTTAGAGCAGGTAACTGCCACAGCTGTCTCTGTGGATTAAAAATCCCAAAGTTGGAATACATTTTACTATCTCTTCTGTTTTTTTAAACTTCCTTTTGCTTTTTATGCCTGTGAAATTCTTACAGTGCTGGTTTCTTCCTGAGTAAATGCATCTAAGTTTGTAATTTTTAATGAGAAAGTTTTCTCTTAGCATAATCACTCATTGAGGAAACATTTCTTTCCACTCATAATTTTGCATATATATTATGTCAATTAAAAACTAAGTTTTTTGGGAATGGTGAATTTCAAATATAAAACAATGGATTTCACATTTATCACATGTTGGGGATGGTGAATTCCAAATATAGAGCAATGAATTTCACATTTATCAATAAATTTCACATTTATCACCATTAAATAAAAAAAATATTTTCCATTTAATAGTTTTTTTCCACCCATCAATTCAGCTGGGATGACTTTTCTCCTATTCCCGCTGTCATTCACCTTCATGTTTTTTGCTGTCCTGATTCTCTTGCATCCTGGGCCCTGTGGGTCCCAGCTTGTGTCATGTACTCTTTCTGTCCTTGATGGGGTTTTAGGCCCTTTCCTTCCACATTTTAATTTTTTTGAATACAATTTTCTATTGAAAAATTCATGCCCTAATAAAGCCTCTTGTCATTTTGTTTTGTTCGCATTTAAGTAGGCGTCTTCTTGTTTTTTTGTGTTTTATTTTGTAACCTATCTGCTGATGCAGCATCGCTTTTGTTTCCAGTAAATGAAAGGAAAACATTTCCACTCACTTAGTAGTTAGGCAAAGGGAAGGAAAGAGCTTGAGTGCTCAGCAGTTCTCCGAGATGAGATACGTACGTGATGGATTTACATTTTATTCTGCTTCATGGTTTGGTTCACATGTCGGCATTTTGTATCTTCAGTAGTTTGCTGATTATTTGTTCAGGTTTTTACTCAGTGTTTTTTAAAGACATGAATTTTGATCATATATAAAGAGAATTTCCATTAAAACAAGGTTCTGATTTTTTTTCAGGCATAAAGAATTGCGTTGTTACAGAACATAATGGATTATGTTTAGACTGATATGAACAAACAAATATTTCCAATTACCCATATGACTCTTGGTCAAGTCCTGCAAACTGCTAGCAAAGATGAAAATAGTTCAGACCGATTATGATGAATTCTTTCCCAGAATCAAATGAATTATTGCTGGAATTAAAATGAGAAAGAGAATTTTACAGTTCAATTTGTATGTGGAGGGAAATGATGAAGGACAGTGATTTGCTATTTACATTTTTCCCCATAGTAGCAGAAAGTTTCAAAGTGGGCTTGATGTATTTTTCTTTCAATTTTCAGTCCTTTGTTCAGAAAAACTAATATTCTGGCCTCCAAAAAGAGAAATTTCTTCCAAGTATAGGCTGATCATGATACCATCTATAAGTACTATGCAGAAATGTTTTAATGTAATGTTTTAAGGTGTTAATGGTAGAATATGAGAGCTATAGACTTTGAAAAATTTGAGTATAATTTACATACAGAAAATTTCACCCTTTTTGGGTTACAGTGATATTTTGACAACACAGTCAGTCACACATCAACTACACAATCAAGATATAGAATAGTCCCATTACCCGCAAAATCCCCTCGTGGTCATCCCTTCTCCCTACCCTACTCCCTGGCAATCATTGATCTGTTTCCTCTCTATAATTTAGCCTTTTCCAGAGTGTCATATAGATGGAATCACGCAGAATGTAACCCTGGGAGTTGGCCAATCTTACTTAGTGGAATGCATTTGAGATCATCCAGGCTGCATGTCTGTTACTGTTCATTGCTGAGTATGGCTGTATGAATGTACCTGACTTTATCATTCAGCAGTAGAAAACCATTTGGATTTTCCCCAGTTTTTGATGATTATGAATGAAGTCACTCTACACATTTGTTTACAGGCTTTCTTTTGTGAACATAAATTTTTGTTGAAGCTGAGTGGATACCTAGGAGTAGGATTGCTGGCTTGTATGTTAACTTTATAAGGAACTGCCAGACTGTGTCTGTGCCATTGGCATCCCCAGCGATAGCGTGTGACGGTTCCAGTTGCTCTGCTTCCTCATCAGCACCTGGCTTTCTCAGTTTTTCCCCCCGTTCATTCTAATAGATTTGTATCAGTTTCTTATTAGGGTATCATTTTGCATTTTGTGGAGCATTTTTTCTGTAACCTTATTTGCTACCGATGTATCTTCTTTGGTGAAGGGTCTGTTCAAATCTTTTACCTGTTTTAAAAGCTGGATTGTTTAAAAAAATTTTTTTATTGAATTTATTGGGGTGACATTGGTTAATAAAATTATGTAGGCTTCAGGTGTATAATTCTATAGTACATCAACCGTATATTGTATTTGTGTTCATCACCGCAAGTCAAGTCTCCCTCCATCACCTTTTATTCCCCCTTTACCCTTCTTTCCTGCTCTACCCCTTTACCTCTTGCAGTCACCATACTGTTGTCTGCGTCT